AATTGTCCAAAAAGCTTCAGGTTGTTCCTCTTATGTCAGGTGTGGAATATATTGGATTGCCCAGCCTCTATAATAGCATTTTTGTTTCTCTTCATTTTGTTTTAGTTTTCTCTAAAGCCAATTCATAGTTGTCAATCGACACAGATGGGTTCAGCAATACATCAGACTAAACAAACATCTTCACAGACACTTTCAGATTTGAGCATTATGCAAAGTCCTTTTCTGCCAAGCAGTTTTCTCCAAAAATGGTAAGGTGTATTGGCAATTTAATATTGTGACATTAAGTGATTAAATTATTGAGAGGCATCACAAACTTATCCAAAATCTTCTACAAGAAATGTCTGAGATTAAGTCCTAGAACATATTTTGTCCTGATTTCTATCCCAGTATTTAAATCTAAAATATATACAGTTTCCTAAAACTGAGTATGTGATGATGATGAAAAGAACCTATAGTGAATATAAAAAAGCCTGGCTTTTAGAATATCACTTTTTTCCCCTTCTGCTTTTTTTAAAAATTAAAAGCTATGCATTTATGGAGATTTTGCTATTTCTTTCAGATGTACTGAATATGGAAAGAAAGGGACATGAAAAAGAAAGCAAATGAATAATTTGGGTAAAAAAGTAAGGGAATAGTTTGGGTGAAAAAGAGAAATAGAGATGGCAATAAAAAAATGTTTGATGTGGCTTCAAGTGAGAATACCAAGGAGAGCACATCAACAATGTAATAAAGGAAGTATTTAAAAAGGAGTCCCACAGTACTGAACATCTGGAAACAAACATGCCAGAAGAAGAAAGCCCAAGACAACAAAGACTACAAAGGACTAAATATTATGCTTCCCAAGCTCCTGGCTTTCACAACAGGAGTGATTCCTCCACTTTTCACTGCAAGATACCAAGGCTTCTCAGGACTTGAGAAGAATCCCAACAAAGAACATACAACATTGTAAACATTGGCTTAAAGTTACATTTGGGTGTTCTCTGCTTAATAAAGCAAGCTGTCCCTGCTTTTCGCCTGTGATTAGACAAGGGAATTGCATTTTTCTATCATCTCTGCAGCACTGGGTTTTGTTTTGCAGATTAGTCCTTCTTTAGGGAACAGGAGTCCCTCTAGCGACTCGACTCCCGCCTGTCTAGTCATATCCCCCGATCTTTCCACCCTTCAAATCTGCCTTCACTTAACTGTGCGAGTACAGCCATTTAAGAGTAGCACAGCACGGGAGTGCGCAATCAGGCGAAACAAACCCTTCATGTTTTATTGTTGAGTGAAGGGTAGTGATGTAGCAAGCCACCCCAACAGTATGTATCAGAGATTCCTTTTCACTTATTAATGATTATTTCTCCAGGTAAAATCCATACACTTCCAACTACTACAATAACTTGTTAATTCCTTCACTTTGAGACTATCAGCTGCTGCTTTGACAGGGACTTCAGTGTTGTTTTCAAGCATTACATGGCCCCAGACTTCCTTCAGCTTTTGTAAAGGTCTATTTTGAAAGACCTTCAGCTTAAAGGTCTATTCAGGCACTTTTCCAGCTGGGGAATCTCAGGGTGCCAAGCCTGTCCCCAGAACTATGTGAACTAGGTAGGTGTCCCACTTATTGGCCTCCTGCCTTTCCTGAGCACCGTTTTCCATCCTGGGACAGCTTCTAACCTCACTGTAGGATGGGCCTGAAAGGGCCTGCCTTGGTATGACTGGTAATATCACAGAGAACGACCTGAAGGAAAGGTTAGTAAAACATTGATGCAACTCTTCTTTCCTTCCCACCAAAGGATCTGAAGGACTAGTGACCAAGCGAGTAATACGAAATTCTGATGCCAGACACCCAGCTTTATGCTCATACTGTTGGTAAAAATACCCAGGATACAGCGAGAATCCTTTTCTTCTGAGATACAGAAGAATGTTGATTTGGTCATCAGTGCAAGCAAATATCCACCCTTATCCGTGCTCTTTCTGACACTGCCTTTCAAAAACACACATGTGATCATACCACTCCTTCCTTTAACATTTGTTCTTTCCCCTGCTTACTAGTTTTAAAAGCTGTGGGAAAGGAAGGCAGAAACCAATGGTCTGCTTTTCTTCTGTTTTGCTCCTTGTTTGTTTGTTTGTTTGTTTGTAAGATTTGTTTTGAAGAAAAGGCTCCATGGAAATGAATGACAATTGACCATCATTACCATCATCTAAAGCACAAACCTTAATGTGAACAACAGCCTTCCTCGTGATTTGAATCTAAATAGACTTTCTGTCCTTATTTTCCTCACCTCCAACTCATCCCAGGCAATTTGTCATCCAGAATATGCTATGCATTTCCAAGGCTCCTTTTCTTTGTGTGTGCTAGAGTACCTGCTTGGACCAAGTCTTTCCAAGTCCTTTTGAACTTGGTCAAAGACCAAGACACTTCTCCAAGCCCTGAGTCTCCTACTTTGTGTTCCTGGAGAATTTTGAAATTATCTTATGTTCATTTTTCATTTTTCTTTCTTGATAGAATGGGCCATACTTCATCTTTGAATTCGAAAAACAGCATTAATTCTGGCATATGGTAGTCATTCAAGAAATGATGATTAAATAAATGGGAATGAGTAACTGAGTCTATTCGTACTGAGGTTCAAACTTTGCATTGTCTCACAAAGTCTAGATGGACATAAAACAGAGAGGAAAAATGGGAAGAGACTTTTTAACTCTCTGTTCCTCTTTGCTTCTCGATGCAAACATCTTTAGAAAATGTCAGGGGAACTCTATTCTTGCTTGAGAAATGGCTATAAAGAGCAAATGTATTTTGTGAACTGGACACAAGATAATGGGGCAAGAAGCTATGAATGAAAACAAAATCTGAAAAGAAGAAACAGCTCATGCAATTCTCCAGAAAAATAATCTGAGAAGGAAGTAGTGTTGGGACCCCACATTATTTTTTAGGATAGTTACTGTGGCAACAAGACTCAGAACTCATGGCCCCCAGCCCTGTCATAGGCTCTCCTGTCCACTCTTTGCTCCACCCTCAATTCCACTCCTAAAGCAGAGCTCCTGTTTTGGTCCCTTGTTTCCTTGAGAGCTTACTTTCTAGGTTCTCTGTCCCTTACTACCATCAGAGGCCTGGATCTGAAAATGTACCCATAACCTCTATCTTCCAAATTGAGTAAGACAGAGAAGGAAAGGGAATTCCTTACTTTTTAGTACCCAGTTGTGGATTTTGAATGCATTCTATCGCAGAAATGTATGTTCATCCTGCCTAAGGTCCACAAAGCATTCCATGATTAATGAGCCTTTATAGGCTGCCTAGGGACTCTATGATAGATCATTTAATTTCTCTGGAAAAATATATGTTTGATGACTTTTTATTTAGAGAAAATGTGAAACTTGGAGAAAGGTTGCGGAAATAATAGAAGGAATTCTCACATAGCCTTTACTCAATTGTTTATATTTTCCTCCATGGGTTTTGGATGTAAACTTGCACACATATAAACACATGGAGAAAAAATATTTTTGGATTCTAATTAACTTAAAAACTTACAAAACATAATCATTATAATATCTATAATGTTACACATAGAATACTAGAAGCTAATTGGTAATTGCTTTTTATTCTTGAGATCACCATGGGGTAGCCTGTGAACTACTGAAGATAATTAAAGAGCTTTAATATTGAATTATTTCTTAGAAACCCAAATGAGAGTTCAGTGTATCTATGGCTGTGCTAATAGTAACTTAAAAATTATAATGTTCATCTTTCTCTTGCTTTGAAGTTGAGCTCTTTTAAAATCAAATCCTTATTTAGGTTTAGTTCACCAGAGATCTTAGACTAACATCTTTAAAAATTAAAGTTCAAGCTCCAGAAAAATGTTTAAAATTTTCCATTATAAAATCATAGCATAACTTTCTTCATCAACACTAAATTCTCTTTAAACATTATCACTGAGATATTTCAACTAGAATAAAAAATTCACAAGTGTGTACTTAATAAGACAAAAAAAACCAAACCCTGATTATTTTTAGGAAATATATACACATTAAAGTTTTCAATACAAACACTTAAACAAATGCCCTGTTGGTAAGAAGAAGGACTCTTGTTTCCCACTTCTGAACTTAGATTTTCTTACTGGAATTTTATATAGCTGAGCGTGACAATAGAGTTTGTTTGCTGCAATAGACCCAAACTACTGTTTGTGTGTATAAATATTTTATTTCTGTACTTTATTATATGTTCCCTTATTTTACTCCTATGTTGCTTCTGATTGAAATAAATGAAAATTAATCATTGCATTTTAATATAGGCTATAATTCTCTTTTATCCTAAATACTATAACACAGAAATGAATTCATAGGAATTAAATTGCTAATAGCAATTAAAATAGCCTTTACCATATGTCAAATAAAAATGTCAAACAAAATGAAATATTTATTGTTAATGACATGTTATGTTATGGAGAATATTTTTATAAAATAATCTTTGATATTTACAGAAGATTTATTTTATATTCATATTGCATCTAACCCATAATTGTTTATTTTCTTCAAAATAGAAAAAAAAAGAAAAGTGCAACAGAAAAAACTCAATCTATTTTTTATGAGTGCTGAAAATTAAATGAGAAAATATAATAAAATTCAGAGTTTAAAGGTTCAAAGATCTTATGGTATCGAAGACTATACTTTCTACTCAAAAGCTTTTTTATGGCAACACTACCATAGACACACTTTAATAACCATGGCATTCCAACAGGACACAAGAATACAAATGACTCCATCACATTGTACAGGTGGTAACAATTACCTGATACATGTACAATGTGCTAAGTTTTGAGTACAGATTATAAGTGATTGTTATATAACAAAAATATCCCCCAAAATTTACTTCTCGTGGTTCCTCTTTTATTTCCACTGAAGAGCTGAAGTATTGAAGTGCATACATTTTTATCATGTTAAATGGAAGAGTAGATTGTGATTTAGCTCCCGAAATTTAAATACTGCTTTTTAACCATCTGCATCCTAAAGTGCTTTCAGAGATTACACACATGCTTGAAGGAGTCAATCCCCAAAGGCTAATATCAAGTTTATATTTTGTTAATCTATTCCTGATGCTTTGCCTAGAAAATTGGCATTGCCGCCTTCAACATTTTTCTTTTGGAACCATGGTTTAGAATTTGTTCCTTGTTGATAAGCTTCCAGAAAATGACAGATTCCAGGAATTTCACTGGGGAAATTTGGTGGAAGTTCCTCCCTTGATCGAGGGGTAAACACAAAACCAGGACAGTCTTTGAGTAATCTGAAAGATTAAAATAAAAATTTAACCATTAAAATTTAATACTGATATAGTGGTCTACTCAAAAAAAGACAACAGAACTGAATGAATATTTCTGAAATATCAATAAACCAGCAATTCTCACTATGATTGACAGAAAGCTCCTTATCATGTTAACAAATAGAAGAAGTATAATGGAAAATAAATTCATAGTAGTAGGGAAATAAAATCCAAAATAATCCAAATGTCTAATAAGAGCAAAAAAAAAAATAAAACCATAAATATAATGTTATAGAATAAGGCTTCCTAAATTGAAAGATTGAACATGTTAAAACATTGCCCATTTATTGATTCATTTTGTAAATATAACTGAGAAATAATCATGGGCAAAAAATTGTAAAGGAAAAGATCTACATAAGTTATATGTATATATCAACATATATAAACTTCTGATCTCTCAATAGAATTTTTACAAATTCAAGGTTAGTAAGACTAAAATGAGATTTAATTGCACATACTGATGCAAAATGTCCTATCTGGTATTTGCAGTTTTTTTCCTTCTTAAATTCATTTGTTCTACCTAATTTTTTAAAAATTTTGCTACTAACTACTTATCCATTATGCTAAACTCATTTTGAATTCTTGATCCTACTGATTAAGTTTCTGGCTCTGCTTGCCATTTACTTCCTTAGCTTTCTGTCAAAGGTAAACTTAATAAGCATCACTCTACTCTACTATTTAGGCGATGGATGAAATCATTTGATAGTTCTGGGATCTAAACCAACTTCTACAGAAAGCCACTCATCACATCTGCCTAACCAGACCATAGTCTTACTCACGCGTCTGCCATGTCATGTCTAAATGAAACAGAATGATGCTGCATTAGAATTTGGAACTGTGACACTCCTGTATACTGAAGAAACCAACTGGGTAGAAATCTAGGTTTCGAGAATGACAGTCCTGGAGTACATGAGAGTATTCTATGAACTAATTTCTATTAGTATCCCAATAATTTGCAAAATAATATGCAAAATAATAAAACTAATGAAAATGATGCTCCAGTCATGAATTAATAAATATTGAGGCCTGTTATTCAGAAGGTATAATATTTGTTAATATATAATGAAAAGCCCCAGCAGGGGAATCGCTGGATCAAAAGGCAGTTCCATTTTCAGCTTTCTGAGGAAATTCCACACTGCTTTCCATAGTGGCTGCACCAGTCTGCATTCCCACCAACAGTGGACTAGAGTTCCCTTTTCTCCACAGCCTCGCCAGCACCTGTTGTTTGTGGATCTGTTTATGATGGCCATTCTGACCGGTGTGAGGTGGTACCTCATGGTGGTTTTGATCTGCATTTCTCTAATGGCTAGTGATGCAGAGCATCCTTTCAAATGCCTCTGGGCCCTCTGTATACCCTGAGAACACCAAAACGCCAATACAAAAGAACCTATGCACCCCAATGTTCATAGCAGCACAATTTACAATAGCCAAGTGTTGGAAGCAACCTAAATGCCCATCAGTAGATGATTGGATCAAAAAATTATGGTACATATACACAATGGAATACTACGTAGCAGAAAGAAAAAAAGAAGTACTAAACTTCGCAACAGTATGGATGGAACTGGAGAGCATCATGCTAAGCGAAATAAGCCAGGGGGCGAAAGACAAATACCATATGATCTCACCTATAAGCGGAACCTAACCAACAATGCAAAGAAGCAAGGCAAATATGGCCAGCAACACTGAAAGGAAAAGAAATCAACAGAGACAAGAGGGAAGGGGGGGGGGCAGGGAAAGGGAAGGGAAGGGGAAAGTCAAGGAACATATAGCAAGGACTCATGGACAAAACCAAAGGGGAAGAGCTGAGGGAGGGAAGGTGGGAGGGGGCAAGGGAAAGGGGGGGGGGGAAGGCAGAGACAAATGTATTTAAAAAGTAAATAAATTAATAAAAAAAAAAAAATAATGTTCTTGAAGATAAAAATAAATAAATAAAAATAATAGTTTTTTCCCTAAAAAAAAAAAAAAAAAAAAAGAATTGCCTGGAAACAATCTCCCTCCATATGAGGTTATTACAGTGGAACATAAAAATTTATTGAATAAAAATCTTAATAATATGTCAAATAATCAGAATAATTCTTATTTATAGACAAGGCTCAGAGTAAAAGCAGTTAAATTCACTGCACAATAAGTTTCCTTAAATATTGGGTGGGTCAAAAAGTCCATTTAGTTTTTTCCATAAATAAAAGACACATTTTTCATTTTCATCAAAAAAAAAAAAAAAAAAAAAAAAAATATATAATGAAAAGCTACAGACTCCCAGACTGACTATTAGCTTCAAACTCTGGTAGATTTAGTTTTGAATAACAACGAAGATGTTAGTTTTGTAACTTTTTAAAATGGGGATAGTAGTACACCTCTTTAGGACAGTTGTGAAAATTAAATCAATTACATAAGACTAACTAAGCATCAATGAGATATCACATAATACCCATCAAAAGTGGTAACAATAAGTTCAATAATATCAGGCTTTAGGGAAGATAAACCTTCACACATCATTGGTGGAATAAAAATCAATAAAAGCAATTTGGACAGCTAACTGATCCTTAGTAAAGGTGAAACTGGATACACCTATGATCTGGGAATACCACATATAGGCATGTTATCTAAAAACATATGAATAAAAATATTTATCAAATCACTTTTATAATAATAAAAAAACTGGATACACTTTAATCATGGGTAGAAGATAGATTCTGGCTTATTCATACTCTAGAATACACCTTCAATATTATATAGTGGCATGCTTGTTCTGGCCTGTACAGGTTTGTGAGAGCAAACTGTTAAACATTCAGGAATTTTCCAAGACTTTGGTGGCCTGAAGCCTGGTGTGGTGGAAGTATTTACTCTATAGACATTAGTAAAGGCTAGAAATCAGGGATTCTCCTCTTCATTCCTCTAAACTGATTTACCAGCACACCCCTGCACTGGAGATAGTTTGAATGAATGAATTAGATTTATAAGAATTAGATGTACATTTCATCAAGAAAAATATCTCAGAAACATAATTTTGAGTGGGTACAAGGAAAGTCATTAAAGGATATGTACAGGTTCAGTGGAAATCTATTTTTCCCTGACTTAATTTTTTTATGTGAAGGAACTTAAATGAAGAGAGTTGTGCTCCTGGCTTCTTTCTGCCCATTTTCCTTCCTGGTAGACAGCAGCAACATATGTTATTGCTCTGCTCAGTTCCTTCCTGCCTCTCTCTTTGGAAGCCTGCCTGTCTCCAGCAAGTACATGTTCTCAGATGTTCCTATAAATCTTACGGGATATAGAGTCCAGCGTGCCAGGCAGAAAATGGGGATCTGGGGACCGTAGTATTTTATTTATTTTATAAAACAGGGATCTGAAACAAATGTGGCAAAGTGTTGACATCTATTAAATATTAGTATTGATTATATGGATATCATATTTTCTTTGATTTTTCTTCTGTATGTTTGGAATATTTAAAAATTATAAAATGTATAAATCTATAAGGATTTAATAAATTAGAATGCATAAAACTGTAGGTGATTGATAAATTTAAAACATATTTTTCTGTCCACATTAGCTCAAGATTTCTTATTAAATATGGTGATTATGGTCATAACCTTTATATCACTTGAATTTTTTAAATGTTTTGCTCAAGATCCCATATCTGGTAAGCCCTGTATTTGGAACTGGTAAGATATGTCTTCTGAAAACAAATACCAGGCTTTTAAGGAGACTTATAGATAAACACGAGAAGAGTGTCATAGAGTGAAAAATGTTCATCAAATGATCTTCAAATAAAGATAAAAATGTATAAGAAAAGCAGGTTGGAAAAATGAAACCATTTAAATGACAGCTGGTGGCAGTAAGATCCAAGGATGGTGGCAAGAGCCCCAGTGCAGATGTCCACGCAGGGTAGAGGTTTATCTTTCCTCCCTCTTGACCAGATATCATTTCTCTCAATATAACAGTAAACTAATAGATTTCAAGTGGGTAGTAGTGCAATCAGTACCTGTAAGTTGTTGGGCTGACATTGATTTTCCGTGGTACACTGCAGGATTCAAATTTGTTAGCCAAGGTGACGTTGTTTCCAAAAAGACAGTAACGGGGCATTTTAACTCCAACAACTCCAGCAAAGACCGATCCAGAATGCAGTCCAATTCGCATCTGAAAGCAAAGAAAAAAAAATACCACAGTGTTCCCGGTCATGGGTAAAGCACTTCCCACTTGTCAGTGTTGTTTGAATGCCCTGTCTAAATGAGGGTGCCAATCGCTCTCACCACATCAGTTCCTCTTTCCTCAAAACCTCAAGCCAACTTCCCGTGACTCCTCACAGTTGATTCAGAATGACCAGTGGAGAATCAGCCACACCTCTTAACTCTTCTCTATTTATGCACTTAGGTTTACTGTACAAAGCAGTCTTATTTCACCTCTCTCCAATATCTGAGGCAAATTTCTGCGCATATCTATCACAGTCAGCACAATGACTAGACAACGTGTCTATGGGCTGTTTATGAGAACCTGCTCTGTCTATGAAGTGAGAGAGACACAACTTCTGGACTACAGGAGTTGTTTCCCAAAGCACTGTCAGGAGGGGCAAAAGCAGCTAGCTCTCACTTATATATAAGTGTGTGGTTTTAGGAATATTGCTTTAAGAAAACTTTATGCCAAACACTACCCCATTATTCAAACGATTAACAGCTGGAGAAAGGGAATTTCAATATTTAAGCAAAACATAACAGAAGAAGCAGGAAGTTGCTACTGAGGCCCAGATTATAGTGACTATATGTATAAATACATATATGAATACATGTACTTGTATATATACACATATATAAATATATATTTATATAGTGACTACATATGTTCTATATTATTTATATAATATATAAATCATATATAACATTAATAATTATAATATTGTATACTATTATATATAATTTTTTTACATATATATTTTAGTTTAAAACATCTGGACCTGTGGAAAACCATCCTTCCCCCTTATCTAGTTATACAATGCAGTCTGGGATATGGTGGGGTAAAAGTTTAGAAATTCTGAAAGGTATCAATGATTTGGAGAGCTCTTGGAACAGAATATTTTAAACTGAGATCTTCTAGAAGATCTGAATATTTGATGACCTTACAGGATGCACAGTCTTAACGTTCTGTTATAACAAAGCAAGTTAAAATGGGGATATTTTAAATGACAGTCAAATGCTGTGTTTATTATTTTCAAGTTCCATGTTCAGCTGGCAATTTTAAAAAAATGTTTTATTAGATATGGGCATTTTAAACAAAGGCCAAGTACTCACTAACTTAGATAAAATTTAGAATTCATGAGACTCAAGTTGTGCCTTGTTTTATAGCTAATTTCTTTTTTTTCCCCAAGATTTTACTTATGTGTTTTTAGAGAGAGGGGAAGGGAAGGAGAAAAAGAGGGAGAGAAACATCTATGTGAGAGAAACACCAGTTCATTGTCTCTCATACACCCCAAACTGAGGACCTGGCCTGGAACCCAAGCATGTGCCCCAACTGGGAACTGAACCGTGATCTTTCAGACTGAAGGCCGGCACTCGATCCACAGAGCCACACAAGCGAAGACTATAGCTAAAATCTAATATTAGCTAGAAACTTTCCCAAATTATTTGCTTATAAATTGTCAAATCCTGAATTCTGCAAAATTTTCAAATAAAAGCTCTCTTATGAATCAGAAGATTTGCATTCTAAACCGAACTCTATTAAAACAGGCAGTCTGACTTTCTGTAAGTCTTGTTATTTCCCTCTATATCTTCATATGTAAAGTGAAGGATTGGCTTATTTTTAAAGTCCCTTGTTTGTCACAGTTTTATTCCCAGCAGCAAAATAGATGTTTATTACACTGGGTTTTCTCTTCTTTAAGGGAATATGGTTTTACATGTCCAAAAACTAAACAATATCAACAAACAAAAATTATAAGGAAAAAAACTATCTTTTGCCTGTATCAGCCACAAGTTGAGCACATTTAGATGGAGAAGCTTTTGTTCTCCTTGGGCATTCTTCTGATTAAACCAGTTTTTCTCTGTGCACTTAGTTATTCTAGCTTTCTATATGATAAATTTATCACAGCATTTTTATTTTTCTATCGCATAACTAATACATACATTCATTTGCCTTATACAAATCCAAGCAAAGCAGATAAAGCACGTGCCCTTTTGGCTGCGTCCATGCCACTTTCCCTCCTTTTTTTCTTTCTCTAACTTCTGAACCTCACCATCAACCCCAAACTTTTTTTCTCAGGGAATTTTCAAATTCAGGAACGAGAAAATGATCTGAACTTTAAGATGCACATCATGTCCTGAATTAATCTCTTTTCCCTTAAATAGATTTCTATGTAAAATAAGAAAAGACAAAGACAGAATTCTGTCTCCCAGTAAAAGCTTTGATGGAAACTTGCTGGTCTTCCATTTGGGGGCCACTCTTCACTTAGCCCTGTTCTCATCCCAGGCTCCCGGGAAGAGGGAAGCAGAGGTCCCAGAAGTTTGTTTCCCAGTTCACTTTCCACTCGCTGACTTTCACTGCTGCCTCCATCCTCTGGCCTCTGTCATCAGCCCCCTTCAGTTTTCTAAGCCTGAGTGGGTGCATGTTGGTGAAGACATTCATAAGAATCAATGAGTAGATGACTTGTACATATGACACATTGGGGAAAAAATAGAGTTTAAAAAAAGGAAATATTTTCTATTATTTTATTTTGATTCCATTCCATGAGGTAGCAAAGTAAAAGGTTCATTTAGTTTTTTTCCGTAACATGACTCTAGTAGTACTTGTCTTTAACATCACTGAAAACAATTTTGTTAGATTGTGTTGTGACAGCTGACATATCAGCAGGCATTTACAAAAAGACTTATCAAAATCAGTGAATTTTTGTGTAACCATTATAATATTGAAGGTGGGAAATAATATGCAATATTTTTGGCATATTGTGTTTTATTATTTCAAGAAGGGCAACTGAAACACACAAAAAAGGTTTGTATAGTGTATGGAGAAGGTGCTGTGACCGATCAAACACATCAAAAGTTGTTTGCACAGAGATTTTTCCCTGGATGACGCTCCAAGGTTGGGTAGATCAGTGAAAGTTCATAGAGACCAAATCGAGGCATTAATTGAGAACAATCAACATTATACCTGTGAGAGATAGCCAACAGACTCAAAATATCCAAATCAATAAAGTTATCAGTGAAACTTTAGAAAATGTTTCTTTTATTTTATGGAAAAAACTAAATGGACTATTTGGCCAACCTAATATTTATCTCTCTACTAAAAATACTCTTCATATCTGCCACTGTGATATTTCGTGCGTAGCTCCTAAGGCCATCCGATATTTCCTAGGACTGCAGGTTAGAACAAACAAAAAGGTCATAACAACTAAACTATCAATACCCAGGTAATTATCTTTGAAACTAGTTATAAGTAATTCATTCAACTGCAAAATTCTAAAAGTACATTTCTACAAATAATGAAAATCATGCCACTAATCCTCCTGGCTCAAACATATGCATATTAATTACAAAATCTATTTATATGGAAATCACTGATTTTATTATCTGGATATTTTAACCATTTAACTCTCATGCTCAGAGTTTCCTGAGAGAAAGAGAGAGAGAAATATATAATTCTTCTTTTAAAAAGAGTGAAGTTCCAGTAAATAAGTCTGAACAGGTCAGATGCTATGATGCTTTTAAAACAGTCACAAATAATTTCACATTCCCCCCACTGAGACCTGGGGTCTGTCTCCTCCCCTCTGGGCAGGCTTATGATTGCTTTGACCAACAGAATAGAATGGAAGTGTCTCAATGTGTCTCGTAAGGCTATGTCATAAAAGGCCATGCAACTTTCACCAATCTTATTTCCTGGGACATAAGCCACCATGTAAGAAGTGACTATCCTGAGGCTACGCCACATGTAAGCATGTGAATGAGAGTCCTAGGTGAGCCAAACTTTTCCACCATCTGCAGCCAAGGACCAGGCATGTAAGTGATGCAGGCACCTGGGAATGGGTGCTCCAGCTCCAAGCGGTACATCCAACTATTCCAAGTGCCCTCAACCATTGGAGTTTTCCCAGCTGAGGTACCAGAGGTAACAGAGGTAAGGTACCCATGCTAGGCCTCATCAAACATCTGATGCACAGAATCCACGCATAATAAAAGGTTTGTGTTTCTTCAGCACTAAATATATGAAAGTGTGTCACACCAGAATGTAGAACTGGGAGGACAGTCGACTTGTCAAACAGTTATGAAGACTTACATGTATGGTGTGTATTAACATTGAAGAGAACCAAGACTAGAATTCTAAATATTATAGTTATATTTTAATTTTTTTCTTTCTTCTTTATATACCTTATCACGTATCAGATAGGATTCTGTGTCATTTCAAAGGCCCATTTCTGGGTCATCAGCTGAGGTCTATCCTATAAAAATTAAGTGACAGATTGACTACCAGTGCCACAAATAAGGACAATCTGCTCATGTTCTATTTGTTAAACCAATGCCTAGCACATTAATTTTATTTTCTCATCTGCAATAAAATATTCTGGGATCTGACTCATCTAGACATTTTAAAATATTATGTGTCCTGGAAAATATTTGTGGGTTAAGAGTCAACATTCATTCTACTGTGATGTCCTCCCCTGCAGGTACTGGAAAATCAAAATTACATTTTCCAAACTCCCTGGTACTTTCTAGACGCATTAGGTTGGGTGAATCAAATACACCTGCTTGAGATTCGGAAGCCAGGATTTCTGCTGTGACTACACTCATTGTGAGGCTTACGAGCACATGCCTATCTAACCATGGAGGCCTTTGGGTTTCCTAAGGCATGCTTAGTGGAAAGCCCAGTTCCCAGCCACTCACTTTGTGAGGGTCATGATGCAGGATTTCCAGGTGGCTGACTCAAATGACAGTAGGTGCAGTTTTGTTCTGTGGCCAGCAGTAGAGACAGCAGCTTTCGGAACACAGCAGTTTCCTGACCCTGAATATAGTAGTAGAGATCTCCCTGATTAGGCCAGCTACCTGATCGAGGAAAAAGTAGTGATTTTGATTTCTGGCTGTAAGAGCCATTTTTTAAAAATTCAAGTCATAGATGGTTTCTTTGGTCCTTGCAATGATTCTCTAAACCTCTTAATACCATGTCATAAATTTCTTCCTGCTTAAACAAGTTAGAGAGTTTGCTCTCTGCAGCTAAACACTGACTGATATGCTATTCTTTTGATAACTAATTAATAAGCATTTACTTTCATTTCCCAGACAATATATGATCCACTTTACCTTGATAGGTTCTCCGTGGGGAGACATGACTTCATCAGAGAGCTCCATCATCTTCAGGGCCATCAGCGCTATCTGAACAGCATGGGTATCACTTTCTTTGTGTAACCCCCCGGCCACACAATAGGCATCGCCAATGGTCTCCACCTACATGTAACAAATTTTCCAAGCTCAGGAAGAATCACCATGTATAACATATAGCAGAAGTTAAGAATTATAGAGTAAAAATCTCAGTGTCCTCTATGATACTGGTTACAAAAAGCTACCAACTCATATAAAGCCACCAAACTGTAATAGTCGCATTTTCTTCTCCTCTAAATATTTATTGTAACTTATTAGATCATCTCATTCTTCTTATGCAAAGCTTCCAGTGTGGAGAAGTGGAGATGAGAAAAGAAATAAGATATGTAAACCTTTAGTAATTTCCCATTTAACTCAGAACAAATGCTGAAACCCTTAAAATACACCCAAAGTTCTTCTTGACCTGCCTTTCTGCTCATTCTTGACTTTACCTGTTAATTCTCCTTCTTGTCCACTTTGCTTCAATGCCACTGGTCTCTCCTGTTTTCCCTCAAACATACCAAACACGCTCCCACTTGCTAGTCCTTTGCCTGGAATAATATTCCTGCAGATCATCATGTGGTTTGTCCCTCACTTCCTTCAGCCCATGTGAGGTATCACTTTATGAGAAAGGCCACCCTCTATGAAATAGCAATCATACTTAACTTGCTTAATTTTTTTCCTCCAGAATATTACAGCACATAAAATACTATGAATTTCCTCATGTGTTTTATTGTCCTTCTTTTTCCCATGGAACGTAAGCTCTCTGAGTTTGTCTGTTTTATTAACTCCTATATCATCAGTGACTGGTATATTCACCAATGAATGAATCAGGTAGCAATGCCTCCCATAAGCTTTTTCTGAGCAGTGAATGCATAAAAAAAAGTGCTTAATAGAAAGGTTAACATATCACAGGTGCTCAGTAAATGTTACTCATTAGGGGAAGCAGTACCCTCACTCCTACCTGGAATTAGGTGCCTAATCTCAGTGCTATTGTAGCACCTTGTACAGACTTGAATGAAGTGGGGCCTTCATCATATCACATGGAAATCTAGCATTTGTCATCGCCACCCCCCAGCTCCCACTCACGTTCAGCTCTGCACAGGAATTGTGCCCACCCATGGTAGAAAACGCTGGGTAACCAGTAGATATTTGCTAAAACAATGAATAAATAAACACTAAAACAAAAAGACAACCTAATGATTGAAAGAGAGAAAATGGAATTAAATAAAGTCCTGGTATGATCATACCCCAGGATAAATAAACTGGACTGTTTATTTATTCACACATGGCTTGGAAGCCATGACACTTCTAGGTCAGCCTATGATTATATGTCTGTGTATCTTGAGTCTATACTATAGTGAAGACCCTTATTTATGGATGGCTATCTCCAGATATAAAAAATAACAAGTGGAGAGAAGGTGGACTGGTAAGGAAGGCGATTGACTAGCTTGGACTGCGGCTGGGTCAGTCAGGGAACTCTCAGGGTCAGGAGGCTAGATTCTAAATACTTGCTAGAAATAACCAAGTTTTTCCAACTTGAAGAAAAGGGCTGCTTCTGCTATCAATCAGAGCGGTTTGCAAAGAGCAGTAAGACTTGCTTCTCAGAATTCTAAGAAAGGAGACATTCTCAAGATAGAAACTGTCTACAAATAAATACAGTAAATTCCACAAGAGGCCATCAAGCTTAACCTAACCAAAGCCAATTATTTTATCTGTAATTATCTACGGACCTATTTTTGTCCCAAGGGATCATAGCTCCATCTGGAATTTCCTGTTAGAAATTTTAAAAAGGAAGTTTTTTCTTACTTCCAGCATCTAGATTTTTAAAAAGGGCTTTTATATTCCCATAAATAATTTATGTTTTCTCCTCTATCATCTCTCTATTTCATGTTGAGTTAAGCTCTGAAATTCCAGATTACGTGGCAAATTAAGAGATAATTCAAGATACACAAATGAGAAGCATGCTCTATTCTTAATGCTGGCATCTAAAACACTACAAAATACTTTAAATCAATAAAAAGCATTTTACTTCTATAAAACACCAGGCAGAACAAGAAATCTCTTCATTAGTTCTCTTATCTGAGAATAGTTGCAATGAAAAAGTAGCTTATTACAGGTTGGAGACAATCACTGTGTATCCCCAGTGCCTAGAATGATGCCTTCACATTCTGGGACTCAAATCCTGCTGCCTGATGAATGACAGATATTATTTGCCATAATATTTATAACAATCCTGTTCATAAAGATTATAGGACATGATGTATATCATTCATGCATATTAACCTTTGGGTGGATAATATTTTCTGTTTCAGAAATGAGAAAGGTTAACTTTCTCAGCTTACAAAACATGTCAGGTAGAGACAAAATTTGAAGACAGACCTCTCTTATTCAGGCATCTCTGCCCTAGGCCTCTGTTCAATGATACCTTAAGTAGGTAACTGGGATTTCTTCTCACTGGCCATAAAAAGTATCATGTTGACTCTATATTGAATTAACCTGTTTAAATACAATTTGTATAATCTTCATATTTCTTTACAGATACAAAGCGTACGTTTTTCCTGTACAAGCGATACTTTGAAATGTATCATACTTAATAACTCAGTTTCCATAGTGAAACCTAAGGTTCACTGACTTCTAAACTTCACCTGCTCATGGGTCTGACACCCCATCCTCCAGTCAGTCCATCACCCCACCATTCTGCGCCTCGCCTTGAGAAGGCAATGTGGTGGTCTTCTCATGTTAACATTATCTCTGCTTCTGAGCAGATTCAGAGCTCCTCTGGCTGGCAATCACCCCCATTATTAGTGCACAATGCTCACTCCCAGGACGTGGCTCCCTGGATGGCCCTGCTGAGACAGCCTCTCGTTTGCATTGTCACTCAGATCCTAGTTGCTGTGCTTTTTCCCAGTGACTTTTGCCTGGAGAATGGGCACTGCCCTGTTCCAGCCCTACCTTGTAGACATCCAGCTCTCCACACTGCTGGTCAAAGCGCGTGTAGAGCGCATTGAGCATGGTGATCACCTGCAGTGGCGAGCACTGGGAGCAGATGGCAGTGAACCCAACGATGTCTGAGAAGAGCATGGTGACGTTACTGAATTTCTTGGCTTGCACCACTTGCCCTTGCCATAGCTGCTGTGCCACCTCTGAGGGAAATATAGAGCATAGAAGATCAACTGTCTTCTTCTTCTCCTCCTCCAGGGCTTGGTGGGCTTGTTCAAGGGTAGCCTTTAGTTTTCCCAGTCTCTTCTTAAGGCCATCTTGAGCTCTGGCCTGTTCTCCTATCAAGACCACATCCCTTAGTGCGTTGTGAATCGGGATGTCTGAGAGGTAGAGCCCTCGTCCTGTAAAATCTTCTAATCTGTCCACACAGGGTGACCCCAAGAACAAGATCGCACTGGATTCAATAATGTATATCATTTGGCCTTTGAGGTCCATAACCTGTGAAGCAAAGGAGAACCAGTTCTTAGTTTACTCAAGTTCTCAACACCTTTTTTGAAACAAAAGGAGAGGAAGTAGATACAGTGGTAATGCCTTTGTATTAAACTTGTTTTTCTACCTGCTGACCAAGAACAGTATGCATTCTTATAGTTCCAACTTACTGTTAGTTCTAAAATGAATGCAGACATTTGAAGAGTATACTGTACATATAAACCATAATTTTCAATAAACAGTACAAATAATTCTATCTTCAAAGCATTCTCAGTAAGTGGCATGCTGCTGCTTTTGTTACTACACTCTTTTGATAGTAGCAGCCAGGAGCAGAAGGGAGCCTTGGGAGAGGTGAGGCTTAAAGTGACCATCCTAGATCACACAATTTACTTGGATGAGCGTGGACAACTATGTATATGTGTGTCCATGGCAGAAAAGAGTCAGAAGCAACTCAAATGTCCTTCAGTAGTGGATGATTAAATAGAGGACAACCTTACAATGAGGTACTTTTACTACACAGCCTTTGAAAAGTGAAACAGACCTATATCTAATAACATGGAAGGATGCCCAAAATATTTTGTTTAGTGATAAAATGGAAGTTATAAATAGTGTTTTTTTGTTTTAAACAAAAAATATATGTAACTAATGTTTTTGATTTTTTTTTACTACAATTACCAATTTTTTAAACACTTGGCTATAAGAGTTTTATGATAAAAAGTAATAAAGCTGTTTTCATTTTTGGGAATGGTATATCTGCTGGTGTGAATGCATGACTAAAATTTACATGCATCCTAAACCTTTCTGTTAGCTTTGCTATACTATCAACTACGGTTTAGCAAACTTTGTATCCCAGGAGTAATAATTACCAAAGTTCTCTACCATGAGATGACAGAACATTCCTTCCCCACATCCTCTAACAATTAAACATGTCATTTATTTCTTCCATGTTTATTACATATTTAATTAAAAATCCATTTAGTAGGGTCCTAAAAGAAAAAAAGTAGTTTTTGTTTGTTAAGAAAAATACCTCTTATTCCAAATTGAGTCAGTCGCTTGATGATTGAAAACATATTTTATGTAAATATTTTCATAATTTAGTTATAAAATACTTCATAAAGATTTTAAAAGGTAGACTGCATTCAGTGAATATTTGTGAAGTAAGGGTCCAACAAAGAAGAAATACATGCAGAAAGAGTCTGGTTTTAAATTTATTCTTGCCTTAAAAGTATTTTATAATTGTTTTAAATATTAATGTTTTATCAAAACATTTGAAGTGGTGCATGTGTATTTGTGCCTTTTTTTGTTTCTGGTCCTTAAATATGAAATAACTGACCTCATATTCAAATTACCCTTATGTTTTTCTTACCCTTGACGACTTCTTCACGGAGTTGTCCCACCTCCTCACTCGGACCACAAACTGCATATTCAACATAGTCAAGATTCCGCTAAACGTTTGGTTGACTTTTGGAGTCAGAATTTCAAAGTACTCTTCAAAATGAGGCTTTCCTTGGAAGTCCCTCCTGTTCATCAGCCTCCTGATACCATTGCCAAATTGCAGAATTGTCATATCTCGGTCAAACATGAAATGGAATGGAAATGTCTTACAGAAGAGAGAAGCAGGGATGACCAGTGAGGACTGGGGTTTGCCTGGGGACAGGGACGGTTTGGTGCTTTTGACATGAACTGAGTATAACAAATAGGGCTGATTCACAAACTCGCTGATGTCATCATGGACACAGGAAGGCATTAATGACACTGTCACCTCGGTTTCGTACAAGATGTGAGCCGCTGCCTTAATGATGCCGGGCAGAATCAGGGATGTGGTCCTCTTGGGGAAGAAATAGTAAACGTTTAAAAAGTCATGATCTTTGTCCAGACAGAGAATGGATGCATCCTCCAGCCTGCCCTTCTTTTCTGCTTCTTGGCAGTGGCTGCTCTGTTTCAGAAGGGTGCTGAAGCTATTTAAAAAATCTTTGAGGGTTCCTCCAACCACACCCAGGATGTGTTCATCTTCCTCATAACATATTTTGAAAAGTTCTTCACCGAGAGATTCTTTGATGACCTCCACAGGAATTCCTGAAAGCATATATTTACATTTTCTGCCACGGCTGTGCTGTTACTACTATTTTAAACATTGTTTTATTTGATGATTTAGTTCCCTTTATATCTGGTAATAAGAGTTCCAATCCAAATTAACCATCTATATTTAAATTATCTATGCAGATTAGTTACTAAAATTCTGATAACTCTGAATAAAACTCCCAAATCATTTATTTGAAAAAAGAATGATCAACTGAGTATAATATATAATTTTATATCCCTAAATTTAGCTATAAAAGAGCAGATGGAATGGCAAGGTCAGGTCCCTTTCAGAAAAACTCTCCCACCTTGGTAACAACAAAACCAGTCCATCTTGGTGAGAGGGTACTGTCCTTTTGCAGGGCCACCAGGAGAATAAGGTTCAGACACAGGTATTAATTTGAAATCACTGGTCATGACACTCAATTTTGTCGCTTTTCTTTGGAGATAATATAAGGCAATTTTTTTCTGAGTATAATAGCATTCTTGTTGGTTAATGTTACTCTAGTGAATATGTGTTTGGAATATATTTCTTTCTACAACTTCTCCTTCACCTCCTTTATTCTTTAAACTCAGTGTACCATCTATTTTTTTTTATTTAATCTGGAACTGAGGAAAAACAATACTGCCCTTTTCATAACACTCTTGTAATATATAAGGAAGATGTTTAGGATAGTACCTGGCTTCTAAGATGCGTTAAATATAAATAGGCATCATCACCATTACTATTATTACAGTCTTAATATCTTATACTTTTAGAATAATTTAACTTGTTGTGCTATGTGCCCAAACTGTGAAAAGGACAGTAAAACAAATTTACTCATCAACTTGTTTCTTTAAACTAATTATTAACATGAAAACACCATTAATCCCCTTTCCCATGATTGTTTTGAACCTTAATTTTTTTTTTTTTTAGTTTACTTTGCTGAGTAGTATTTTTCATGCACTAACCAGGAACACTTAGTTAACTTCAAGACCAAAGCTGTAAATTTGTATGAGTCTGATTTCCATGCAGTCTTATCTAATTCTCACCAAATAAACATTGAAAGAAGAGGAAATGTTTTAGGTCAAATAAAAACATACAGTATTGAAAAGACTTATTCTTTATGCTAACACAATATATAACATTGAATACTTCACACTGGAACTCACCAGCGAACACAAATAAATATTTTAGGAGAAAATATTAGTTCTACAAGTAAATATTTTTTACTAATAGAAAATATTAGTTTACTGGTAAAATATTAGTTCTAAAATTATAATTATTTCCTAATCACATATACTTAAACAATTCCATTACCTGCTGTAAGTGCTTGGTCTGCAATTATTTTTTCAAAGTCTTCTCTTTCCACAGATTTTCTGAAATTATTTCAATATCTTCAATTATAAACTGACAAATGAATGCTAAAACTTCATATTATAACAGGAAAATTATGACAAATAATAGTTTAAATTACATTTTCTATAGAGGCAAGTCTTGACTATCAAGTTTACAGGGAAGGAGCAATGATATGTACAACCCAAAGTGATGTTAGAAAACCCCTAAATATAACTGATACAGAATGTCCCATAAAAAATGTTCCATCATTTTTTATGAAATACTTACTTTTTATCTGAACTCTACTTAGACTAATGCTATAGAAGTCTACACTAGCAGGGAATCAGGAATATGAAATGGCCCCCAAGGAGATGATGATAAAGCTCCACAGAGTTTTTCTGAAAACCAGATCAAGAAGAAAAACCTACCAACTGATGAATTTCACTTTTAAGTACCCTTATTTTTTCCTAAAGCAAATACACTGTAAATCCTTTATATTTAATTCTCAGACATCTTTACATTAAATTTTATCCTTGATCTTGTATAAAATTGAGCAACTAAAGAAATCTCTTCTTTATTCAATCACTACACTAGTTTCTATAGCATAGAAGTTGATAATATAATGGCATACATTCTGATTGATAGAAGGTTCTGGTAACTGCAGCTAGACAACCTGCTGATTTATGTCTACTGAACCTTTTGTTGATGATTCCTGATAGTGATGACCAATGATGGGCAAATTTGCCAAACTATGGAAGCATAGTAAAGGACACCCAAGTTCTGTTTGTGGTGCAGTTTGCCATTACACAAGCCAAGTTTACAAACAGGCATAAATTATAATTTTAATAGGTTTCAAGGAGCATGATACATATAGAGCAGCATCAAAAGGAAATATTTTCAAGAAGGAAAATTGCTCATTCCACCACTCTATCACATAAAAGTATATTGCTTATAATTATTTAAAATACCAGGCAGAAATATTTTCTCATTTAAATGGGTTGAGGAGCACTAAATGGTATTATGTAGTCTGACTTTAGAGACCCCCAAACACCCTGACATATAGTACTTCTCCATAATGTTGCACAACATCTTTATATTCTATTGCGTGCTCACCACCCAAAGCCTACTCTTTCATCACTGAACCCCTTGATATATGTTATTTTATATTAATCGGTCTTTAGATTTACTTCTTCTTTTTGTCATTTAAGTAACTTCTATTTTTTCAAAGGAATGAGAACAACTCTCTCAGAGAATTATAATTCTGCCAATTCCCAGCACCCATGGCATGATGTATGAGTGCAGTGAGTTAAATAGCGCACAGTGCAATTCAACATAAGTTCCCCATCTTTATCTTCAAGAAAGGAGGTGTCAGCTTGTATATGCACCTGCAAATGTGCACACACACACACACACACACACACACACACACACACACACACACACACCCCAGCCATGAGTTCATACACATGGTGATAAGAACAAAAGGTCTTCGAAAAAGAAACAAAACAAAAGCTCTACTTGCAACCAACCCAGGGAGATACCAGAATAGTTCTATTTAAACTCATTCACTTAAAGAATAGATGGTGGTGAGAAGGGAATTCCAGTCTTCCATTTAGGGACAATGTATTATTTAACATGTTGTTTTTCTTTTCAAGTTATATAGATAACAGGCAGTTTGCAAAAAGAAGTGAGGTGTGTTGCAGTTGGCAAAATAAGAACAGTAGAAATGGCAGTTTCTCTGCCAAAAAGATGAGGAAGAACCCAGGAACAAAGAGCATATCCAAGAATTTAAGAAGGCAAAGAAGAGAAGAGCCATTTGGAATATCAACAGGCACTCTGATGAGAAAAAAAAGGGCCCTCATCTTATTTCAACAACTGAATAATTACCACTAGGACGATTTAAAAGTATGATCAGCTCTGTAAAAGCCAGGGAAATGGTTAAAAATTTTTCAAGATTTCCAAATAAAATATTTTTTTGAGTTTTTAGATTTTTAAAAGAGATTCACTGCTGGGAACACATCCTAATGGAACGTCTGTATTCATCCAGCTTTAAGAACGTTGCAGAACACAAAGCCCTGAGAATAAATTTTGTGTAAAGTGGCTGCCAAGGATTTCAGCAGGCGGACACAGTAGCGCAGCTACACTGACTTAGGGCTATCTTATCGGCTTGACTGAGAAGGAAGGTCAGAGGTGTTCTGCAATGCTTTGCATATCGCTCATGCAAACAAAGCTCCTGTCAGACAGGGGGATTCACACTCTCTCCTCCTGGACCCGTCTGTCTGTGACCCCTTCTTGGCAGCCTGCTGCCTGCAGCCTGGGACCAGTTAGTCAGCTGGGAAAATTACATGCAGATAATCCACAAAACAGATTATTCACTCATGAATAGCAGGGAGATGAACGAATTTATAAAATATTTCTGACAATGGTACTGGTTTGCAAAACTTCCATTGTTCAATTCTGTTAATTTGAACTCAAGTCTTTGTTCTACCACTTGCAGATTAAATAATCCTTGGGATTGCAGGGAATCAAAAACAAGGCCAAATCAAGTTATCTACTAGCAGCAACTCTGCCAAGAGGTATTTGAAAATCTGATAATAGAAATCAGATTTATTAAAAAAATCAGCCTCTGCAAAAAGCCAGCTTAATGAAAATTTCAAAGACTCGGTATAAGAAAAAAAGTGTAAATAGAACTAGTATTCGCTCAGTGCACAGCAGTATAACCAAACTGTATGCAAAGGTACTGAAATACTTCCCTAAGGATTAATAACTGCTGCCCCAAGCCCCCCGAGTCACCCCCCACCCCCTCCCGCTGCCCATCCTCTTCCATTTCATCTCCTCCTGACATAGCACCTGGAAGTCTAACCTCGGGGGGAGGACAGAAGTCGGGTAGAGGGCACCTTGGAGCTTGCTGCAACCTTTTAGCAGGATTCTCCAGGCCAGGAGTGTGCCCTGAGTTTCTGGTATCCAGGCCTTACCTGTCAAGCATTTTAGAAATTTCCTCTTAGTAAGAAAGATGCCTGTGAGAGCTTGTTAAAAGCAGCAGAATACGGCCATTTGGTTAAAATCACAGGCTCTGAAACACCCAAGCTGGAAACTCAGGTCTGCCTTTTCCTAAACTCCTATCCAGTTCTAAACATCTTACATAAACTTGAGCTTAGTGATACATAAAATGTGAAAAGTAAATGCACTTACTTCCAGATTAGTGGCAGCTAAAATACCTAGTCCAGAGTGGGCATTTGAAATATGTTAATACTTTCAGCAAGTGTTGGTTATAAATGGTGGTATCGGTGAGGGTAATAAGAAGTTCATACAACTAAAGTGGTTCAATTTACCTGATTTCTTTCATTTTGTGTTTTGCCAGTGTTCTCTGAAGTGCAAGTTTCAGACGCTCAAACTGAAAATTGAAAAGAAAAGTTGTAAACATTCTCTTAAATAATGATATACTTGAAGATATATATTTTAAACATTCATCTTGAAAGTTTCTTGTGTAGAAGCAGACATGTTATTATGATACTGAGAAGTGTTGCTAATTTCCACTTTGGAAAGTGGGACTGATTTTCCATGGGTTTTTCAAACTTGAGAAGAGACAACGGGCTCACACTGTTTGAGACTGGATGCGGGCTGCAGACCACAGGCTTTGCCCTTGGTGGGTTATCTCACTGACAGCTACAGAACAAGTCAGGTGAGTTGGAATCCAAATAGAAAACTCCAGTTTGGTAATGTCAGGTCTTCCATGAAGGAATCCTGCACATCATTTCCTGAGGTTCAAGAGACCCCCTTTGATGTATTGCCAATACCTCAATGTCAGCATGGCTCAAGCCAAGCCAGTCCCTGTTCCACTCACAGATTCTATACCAGACACGCCAGTGACTCTCTGCCCTTAACTCCAAATGCAAATTTATGTTTCATGTATCATTTACATCTCCTGGTCTAGAAAACTCTGGTACTATCTCTGTCTTCTCCCCTTGTTTATGTATCCCTTAAAACTGAACTGTCACCAAGGTGGCCCGATCATTGATTTGAAATAAATCTTGGATTTTCCCTGTTTTGTACCAATTTCTTTTCTTTGAATGAATAATCTTCACCAAACTCTTACAGTTTTATTCTTTTATGGATTTCATGAATTTTCCTATACTGCAGGATATTGCATATAAACCTCCATATTTTAAATATTTGTTGACTATCTATTAATCTTGCTTAGCTGCTTGTTGCCCTAGTTAATACGGAGAAGGAGACCATTGGTAAGCAGTGCTGCCAATTCTTTTGCATTTCACATAAAAATTCTATGTATCTGCATGGGAATATATAACTGCTGATTCTTTCTGTAGTTTACTCAGAGAAAAGTGAAGAATTTTCTGGCTATGCTCCAAGTTGGGAAATTCCTTTCTCCTTAAGAACTATTTATAGCTCTCCGAGTTTCCACTGGTCAAGTGAGGCAGGGAGTAGAGTTCAGCAAAACTGGCCACGCTTCTGTTTTAAGAAATTAAGTTAATAAGTTACAAAAAGGACTTTCCATTTTAATGTGTATTATAGAGCTTAGGAAAGAAATTCGAACTTTATTGAAAAAAAAATATGAGGGCTGAAAAAATAAAAGAAAACAAATTTACAATGTAGAACAACTTCTTGGACTGCTCTGATAAGGAGAGGGAGGATACGGCTGCCTCCGGATGAAAGAAGGGCCGGCAGGCAAATTATCCCAGGGGAGCATTCGAAGCAAGGCCCTGGGGACCTATATAATGGCAGAGGGTAGGATGCCTGGCAGGTGGGGAACATGTTCAGAAGGGAAAACATGGGCTTGTTTCTCTGTGGTCTTTTATATCAAGGAAGGAGAGACATTACACAGAAGACTCTAAATGAGGTAGATTAGCCAGGATGCTTGGAAAACTTCAATTCCTCGAGGGTCTTTTACTTTGTTGAAAGTTACTCTCACATTCCTAACACCAGCACACTCAGGTGGATTAAAACTCATGAAAGCATGGGTTGCTGTGAGTTCTTTCTTTCTGTAAAATATTTACAGATGGGCAAAGGGCTCACCAATAAAATGAAGGTCATTGCTTTTGTGCATGTGCTCTCACTTTTGTTCCATGCATTTGCTGCCTGCCCTTTATTCTTTCTCCTCCACTAGATTTAGAATAAAAAGAATAAAAAGAATTATTATTCTTTTCTCCTCCACTAGAGTAGAATCTCCAAAAGAGCAGGGAATACCCATTTTGTTCACCACTGTATGTCCAGCACCTAGGATAGTATATGACCATTGGAGATGCTCAATACATATTGATGGAATGAATGAATGAATGAATGAATGACATTCCCCCAGCAGTGACTCAAAGTCATGAAGGCTTAATCTATACAATTATATCAGTGAAGCAACAGAACCAAGTACAGAGGTGTTATTCTTTCAGTTTGCTTACAAATAAATTTAGATTGTGTCCAATTTAAATAATTTGAATTATAATTGCTTATATATGAATTGTTGCTCTGACCAGAAGCTGGACAATGAAAAAAGAAAAGCCATCCAACTCTGCCACCAATGGTTTCTTTTCCTTATTATGCTGAACACCTCAGGTTAGTGCAAAATAATGTTGAATGTAAACTGTCATTGAAAAAAATGAAATAAAAAATAATGTTTTTATTCTTCCTCCCAAATGCTACTGGAGACATTAAACCGTCATAACTCATTAGACTGTCACACCTTCTACCCATTCCAGTCAAGATCTTTCTTGGCCTTTCATTTCCTTCCCACTCTCACTGGGAACTTCTTTTTCTAGTCCTTTCCATGTAATGTAAACGCTGTCGTTCCATGAGGGAAGAGAAATGGTCCCTCTTTCCATTGCTGGGCTTGGTTAAACACACGTGTTCCTGACTTTCCATTTGAATCAAAACTTCATTCGCTAAAGACAAAGGTGCTCAAGTCCTAGCAAAGCTTTAGTAGCACACTCTAGTGATATTACGAGTTAACAGACTTTTGTAGTTATGTTCATAATACACCATTTCTTCTCTGGAGAACTATTATAAGTTCAAAGAAACCCAACCCACAAGGTTTTTTTTGGCAGAATGTTTATTTGTAAAGGTTGCTGGTGCGTAGTTTCCTGCCTTGGTGCTGTAGCTCCTGTACTATATCCTGGTCATAGATGCTGGATGACACAAGTCCACAGTGTCATAGGCAGGACTCAACTTTAAGTGAGACCTGTCACACACAGCCAACCGCAGGGCCTTGTGACATACAATCAGCTGCTACAAGACTCTAGGCAGGTTAGTCAGATACTACACATCCTAACGATTCTATACATTGATTTTTAGTTTAGTATGGTATTTTAGGACTACCTCTAATATTTCCTTCAAAATTAATTCCTTATAATCCAATGTATACAAATATGCAGTAGTCTTTTGCAGATTTTGACTTGTCCAGCACTCAAACTCCCTTTTACTTGGGAAAGCCTCTATTTTGAGTTTTGGGAAAATGGGCTCTGCTTATGTCCACAACCCTTAGGCCCTGAGGTATTGTGGACCATGGAATTTCTGATTCACAGAGGGAGTGCCTGTCCCCAAAAGTAAATCAAGCGTTGCTCTCAAGTTTGTTCCTCTTTACTTAACAATTATTTTTGATTTGATAAAGGATAGATATGTATTCATTGTTAAAACAAGTACATCCCTTACAAATACACTGTATGTTAATACTTCTGGTCTAACTGTCATTTGATGTATTATTGTTGTGAAGACTGACTGGAGAAAATTTCTTTGGTATGGTTTAACTATGATTTTCAACTTTTCTATAGTTTTTAATGATTTTCTAAACCAAAGATATTTTAATGCATAAAGATAGATTATAATTCTGTTTCTGTTTTCTTCTTGCAACCCAAGGTATTGAAACACATTTAGAAACTTTATGATTCTCCTTATATCTACTTAGTCTCATGAGATTTTTGATTCAGGGTAATATCATCTATATAAGCATATTTGATTCAATTGATTCAATTGATTAAGTGGGTTCTAATGTTTTACAACTGTGTCTAATACTACACTGCAAGCTTGTAAACACACTACGCCTGAAGAGCATACAGAATTTTGGGGGTGCAACAGTCATGAAAAATGAGCAGACAATATTATAATAGAAAGAGCAATAAATTATGAATGAGATACATAGACCTTTCCATCTCTCCAGTTATCTCTTTTACTGAAAGCAAGTGCCCTAACTTTCTGTGCCTTGATTTCTTCAAACAGAAGTGAAAAATTTGAACTAGGTGATCAATAAGGTCTTTCTAAGCCCTACTATTCCACTAATTTAGAATAACATTTCCTACTTTAAATTTCCCAAGGATAATAAATTTTAATATTTGTCCCCCATAAAAACATGACTTGGGAAGTCAAATCTGATTATGTAAAATAAAAAAATATGATGCTGTCAAATGGCTTTTGAATGTCTTTCTTTGAATTATTGACAGAACTGAAACTAAACAGTATAATAAGAATTAAATGTCTACTTAAAAAATTTAAAAAGTGCTATTTAATTGAGGATATGCAGATGTTTGCACAGTTGATGAAATGATCTAGATTATTATTACACAGTCTAAATGTATCCAACATGAGGACATTTTCTGTCATAAGTAAAATGGCATTAGTTGTCAGAGAGTTCTAGTCAACGATGCCAACTATACCCCTTCTGTCTCTTAGAATTCTTCATTGATCTTAGTCAAAAGGCCAAGAAGCAGTGCCCGTTAGAATTCTTATAACCTTGCCTTCACCATCTGCTACATGACAGTATAGTCAACTCTCAAGGATTATTCTTATGAGTTCACAAACAACACAGATTAATCTAAACAAGAACAAAGGAAAAAGTAAAATATTTATCTTGGTATTTGGAATGTTTTAACATGTGTATGGCTTCTACTTTAGGATCTCAAAATCTATCAAACAAAGCGATTAAGCCAACACAATAATGACAAGACTTAGGAGCAGTACGGAGGCTTTCTGGCTTCTCCGTCATCACCATCTGTTCCTCTGTGGGCACAGCACTCTGTCCTTGGAAATGAGTGGCCCAAACACTTCCCAGACTGTGATGCCAACCAACTCCCTGCCACGGGCTACATCCCTCACCCCAGACACTGGCTGTCTAGTGGCTAGCATAGGGTGAGAATAATTAAATAGTTCTATTTCAAAGGTTACTAACCAAAGTACTCTTGTGATAATATTATATTTGAAATAAGTTCCCTCAACTTTCTGCTAATTCTAATTTATCCATGTTTCAAGCATCTATTCAAATCTCTTCTTTCTCAGTCACTTGAGCCCATATTGTTTGACAGCAGTAATTGTTCTACCCTTCAAAAACTATGTGAGTTTGGTCAAGTTACTTAACTCCCCTAGTCCTTGGAAGGGAAACAAAATTACCTCTGAAGTTCCTTTGAGTCCTAAAAGTCAGCAAGTCTGTGGTTCTTTAGTGCTTTGGTGTTGAATCAGTTAAAAATTACCCGTGGATTATGATAACTGGAGTCTAATTATATCAATGTCCAATCTCATTGGTTAAGTGAATTTCTATAAAATAGAACATTGATAGAGGGAGGAAGACATCCTGAACACATTCAGCTGCCGTTCTCTTTAGCCCTGCAGGGGGAGAGGAGCACTCTATATGTCCTTTCTATTCCGAAGGTATTTGACCTAAGAAGGTGTTCCATTTCTCAAAATGGCATTAGGCTACACAGCTCACAAAGCTATTTCTAGAAGTGTCTAAACTAACAACACAGATATTGGTGATCACAGGCCCATGACTTTGACTCAAAAGAGCAGGTCAAGCTTCTACTGGCTTGAGCAGAGATTTCAGACTCAGAACCAGCAGGACAAGGGGAGATCGTCCCACCTCAACAAATTGTCAGGTGATACGTGATGCTCTTTGGAGTTGGAAGAAGAGAATATGGCAGAAAGCCAGTTATTCTTCAGGGAACTTAATTTTAAAATAGTAGGTAATAACTAGTAGGCATCTGTGGTATGGCAAGAGGTATGGCTCACTTCACTTCATGATCATTAAAACTCTAGAACATAGAGACTTTTATTGTTTCCATTTTACAGATAAAAAAAGCTGATGCTTAGGGTCAAAGCAGCTGCTCAAAGCTATAAAGCTTGCCAGAGTGCATGATCCTTTCAAAGAGAATTCAGGATGTTAAACATTTTAAGATAAACACAATTTAAGAATATGATTGCTTTAAAAGAATGTTTTTGTGTTTCCAGGAAATACGCTACATTTATCATAGTCTTGAAAGTGAGAAAGCAAGTGTTTATATTTTCCTTAGAAAAACATTTTTTTTTTTACAGTTTTCAACGTATCAGTAAAACCTGAAAGGGCAAGCACTCACCTCTGGGAAAATCAGTTTGCAAATGCTCTCAGCCAAAGTGTGAAGATAGACTCGGCTCCTACTGGTCTTTCTTTTAGGAAGACTTTCTTGTGCATTCTTCTCAGGAAAGTCCTGACAGATGGGTGGAGTGGCTTTGCAGCTCTCTGAGCTTCCTGCTCCCTCTTCTGCTGGCTCTTTAGGAACCTGCCCCGGTGCCAGTAAGGAGAAAGGACACTCCCCTGTGATCTTGAGATCCTTCAGCTTCGTACAGAACATGATGTTGGTGGCCTCTCCCTGCTGTGGACCTTGTTCTGGTGAGCTAGTCTTCTTATGTGGGATGACAAATAGAAGCCACAATCAGATCAAGGACACTGGTGACTGGGGTGTCTATGGACAGTAGAAAGTCAGAACAGAAAGAGAGTGACTTGAAACACTTACGAAAACAGAAAAAGACATGTGTGCAAAAGCAAAAACCATGGAGTCATATTGCATTTTGCAGTAAAAAAAAAATTCTGGTGGAAATGTCAATTACAAAATGGATAGAACATTAGGTAAAGATCTCTAATATGTGTGCATTTTAGTATACTAGTAAAATACTTGTTTTAAACATTTGAATATTTTTCAAATGGAATATAAACTTCTCTGAAGTGTCCTTATTAGCACAAACTACTGATGTCCATTTTTATAACCCATTTGTTCTACTTTGATTTCACATGGGTGCAACACTATGGTTTTAAGACAGAAACTAAGTTGAAATGTATGTTTTATTAGGGCTAATACCCCTACATTCTCATTATGCTATCATTTCTAATAAATCAGAAGAGCATAAGCCAATGTCTCCCAATTACACCCCCAAATATTTATATGTTTGATGGCTAAGTACATGTTTTCAAACTGAAACACTGATTATATGTTTTCAGGTATGAAACACTGTCTGGTTGTGAGTTCAACTTATCAACAATGCTAATGATCTTGACTAACTAGGTTCACTGACTATTTCCATTCTTCGAAAATCAGACACAAGAGAGTGAAAATAACCTATATTCACTTACCCCTACCATGTGCCTGGGAACTCTGTTCTTACATTTAAGTCTCATAGGAATCATTGAATCATCACAGCAACCATATGACACAGGTGTCATTACTTCTAATGAGCCAGAGCTCGAAAGTTTAGGTTATTTACTTTCACTTGAAATGCTAGCTAGAGAGTGATAGAGCTAGAGTTCAAATGCAGGTCCGTCTCACTCCACAGTCCATGCATTTTCCATTAACCCAAACTCATATTGCAAAGTTATACTAATTTCTGAATAATCTGACTTCATTTATAAAAATGAGTATTAGTTTACTTAAAGATATGGCTTAGAATTTTATATTAAAAACAAACAAGAACATAATTCTCCTACTCATTGGTGGTAATTTGAATCATCCAGGGTAGAGCTTTAAATTTCGGTCTTTAGAACTAGCGTTCACTTAATTTTTTTCTTTCCTCTGCCTAAAAGCTCTTAATATGTATAAACAATGGTTTGTAAATTGTCACACATAGGTTATCTAATACATTTAGAGCAATGGACAATTGACTTTCTGAACTGATACAAATAACAAATCCAAATTCAACATCTGACAGCCTTTGAGGTCATGGGATATTAAGTATGAGTGCAGATTAGGATGCTGATGTCCAGAAGAAGCTGCCGCTACTCTCTATTACTTAAAGTCATACCCCAAATCTGTGACCAACATGTAATTTTTGAATCTTCAAGAAGGTACAAGGAAGATCCTATACATACTTGAGCAGAAAACACATTCTGCCAGACTAGAAGAGGGAGCTGTCTATCTCTGCAGGTTTGGAATGGTAACTTGGATTCTGAAAGGCCAAAAAACTTAAAGCTTTCAACAGCATTTCTCTAAGACTTAATTCTACAAATATTTATTTCTCAGGCTTTACTGAACCTCAGTATAACTCTACTACTATTTACTAACTGCTGTTCTCATGTACAGTTTTGATCAGCAGGCAGCAGACCTTTCCCTAAAGGGGTCAGAAAGCAGCCATCTTCAGCTTTAGAGCTCCCTATCAATGACTCAGTTCTGCCATTGCTGCATGAAAGGAATCAACATAAATGTGTTTCAATAAAACTTTGTTTGCAAGATCAGGCCGTAGACTTGACCCTCAGGCTGTAGTTTTCTAACCTCTGATTATAGAAAGCTGAGTAAGTTAACTGAAGCATTTTAATCCAAATATCATTTTGAGTATAAGGCAAGTTACTTCCCCATCTCCTCTAACTAACCACCCCCAAAATATAATGGCCTATGAATATCCAGTTTTGCACAGCATGTAAGTAAAAAAAAATAGATTATAATAGGTAGTATTAAATAAGTATTGGTTTATAAAAAGTATAATACTATTATTTTGTATTAATTTTCAGGAAGAAGAGCTATATTAACTGAATGCTATTATTTCAGTTATATCAAAATATAACTACAGCACTTAGAAGAAGAAAAAAATTAAAGGAAGAACAGTTAGAATTTTTTGAGGGTATTTAGATAAAAGAGAAAGTGATAAAAACTAGGATTCTGATTATAGATTGAATTTAATGAAGGTAAAGAACTACTTCCTAAAATGTTATTCTAGTACATATTAGAACTATAGTACTGGATTTAGGAGTTTGATATAATATAGTTTATGATAGAATCTTCCAATAGCTTAATCTTCTCATTAATAATGAATTTCAACTCTTATCCCAGAACCCAGTATTTTTATTCTCATCTTCCCATTTAGTCTCACTGCAACAGGCTACAGCTCACCAGCCCTCCTTCCTTGAGATTCTCCCATATTGCACAGTCCTGTAACTTCCAGAAAACATGCCTAACACTGTTTTTAATTAAACTAAAAACGGCAACAGGAAACAAGTTGTACTTACTTCAAGATCAGTTAAGTGTTTAGTCTCATTAAATCACAAATGTATAAACAAACTAATTAGCATTCTTCATCTGTTCAACTGATGAAATTACACCACGAAACAGATCCACACAGTGCCGATACCTTGGAAACCTATGTTTGTCTTGCGCTTGCCTGCCAGTAATACAGAATAGGTTCCTCAACTCAACCAGAGATGTCTTTTATGTATAACATTAGCAGTAACTTCACAAATGACTTGGTCACTTGCAGTTTGATACATAGCTTGTGATAGAAATGACAGTAACATGTGAAGGAAAAAACAAATTAATTAAAATAATACATTTGGTGACAAAGTCTTGGCAAGCAGTAGGGGAGTATGTTCTCAGAAACTCAGAGTAATATTTGCCATTCCCAGAGTTGATGATTAAACAGCCTCCAAATATACTGAATGCTCTCTTCCTCTTACTAGTAAGTGATTAACTGCTATCGTGAGAATAAAAGCCTAGCTATTGGCTTCATATTAATAACCAGGATGCCCTATTGTCCAGGTTAGGGGGCTCTCCATCATTTCAACTCTGGGAGCTAATTAAGCACAAAAACCTTGTTTTCTACAAGTAAAAAGACCTACGAGAAACATCCCACGGGTAGTCTCTGGTACAAAAAGCCTCTCTCTCTTTTTTTTTTTTTTTTACAACAGCAAGTCTTAAAAGGAAGATTTTAAATTATAAATGGCATGTGCGTGTGGGGGAAGGGAAACCTAAGAACTAAATTGTCACAGTAAAACAAAACAAAACAAAACAAAAAAACATATATCAAACAATCAGTGTCAAACCTAGCAAGTGACTGTGCCACAATCTGTGATTAAAAAAAGCGTTTTCAGATGAAATTCCAAAATCCAGATTTTTAAGAGTAGCTAAAAGGAAAAGACAACTTCAAAACAGACTGCCTTAGTAAGGATAAAGTTTGCAAAGTCCAGTACAAACTGTAACAACCATTTTCATAAACAAATGTCAATAAAACAGCTTAATTTTCAGGTAGGCTGAAAATCGCCAAAAATTTTCATTCCTCCAAAATTTAAAAAAATATTAAATAAAATCCCATAACTCAGGCTTTTAAAATGTATTTCATTTTACTTTGCAGTAGGAAATATTTTTAGAACTTTCCTCTATGATATATCAGGAAAGCAGGACAAAGTAGTAGAAAAACTGGTGAGAATGGCCAAGTGTTCCAAGTCTAAGTTAAGAAAAAAGGAGCAAATGACAGGCTCTTTCAGACCATCAGCCCTCCCTGGTTTGATATAGTCACACTTCTGATTAGATCAGGCCTTATGTGCTGTTCACTTTCTTAAACACTTATTCCTTAGCCTCCAGCTCTCTGGCTTTTGCTTCCACTATGTTACTGAAACCCACCTTGCTAAATTCAACAATAAGCTGCTAAAAGTTACACCTCAAGAATCTTTTGGTTCCTGGTATTGTTGAATTCTCCATGTCATTTGCATTTTCTTTTTCTTAGTCTCCCACTCCCACAGATTCTTTGATAGACTGGATTGTCTCCTACTTTATTCGTTCATTCATTCACTTTTCATTTTATTCAACAAATATTTATGGATGGCCACTATGTGTCATTCACGTGTCCTCCTGGAGTTTCGAATGCTGCAGGGAAACTATTTTGGACACATTAGTTCCTAGTGTAACCCGTGCTACAAAAAGGGGAAGCACATATAGCTCTAAGAATGCAAATCAAGGATCCAAATGCAGTCTCAGGAGAGATATCTGAGCTGAACTGTGACTCTGAGCCAGGTAAAGAGAGCTGAGGAGAGAACAGCACACTTGGAGGCCAAAGCAGATCACATTCTAGGTCACATTCTAGGAACTGAAATAATTCCAGCCTGGCTAGAGCCTGGGGTCAGGGAGAACAAGGTGGCGGTGGTGAGCACTGAGACAGGCAGGGGGCAGGATGCGGGTGGCTCTGTAACCCATGTTAAACAAATTAAAACCATGTTGTAAGGGCAAACAACTGAATGCCTAAGAAGTAAGAAAGTAAAGAACTATAGAAATGATCCCTGAAAGTATAGTCTTTATACTTTAAAGACAGGCGAGGCTGTGGAGAAAAGGGAACCCTAGTCCACTGTTGGTGGGAATGCAGACTGGTGCAGCCACTATGGAAAGCAGTGTGGAATTTCCTCAGAAAGCTGAAAATGGAACTGCCTTTTGATCCAGCGATTCCCCTGCTGGGACTATACCCTGAGAACACCAAAACGCCAATACAAAAGAACCTATGCACCCCAATGTTCATAGCAGCACAATTTACAATAGCCAAGTGTTGGAAGCAACCTAAATGCCCATCAGTAGATGACTGGATCAAAAAAGTATGGTACATATACACAATGGAATACTACGCAGCAGAAAGAAAAAAAGAAGTACTAAACTTTGCGACAGCATGGATGGAACTGGAGAGCATCATGCTAAGCGAAATAAGCCAGGGGGCGAAAGAC